CAGATGCTCAACATCATTAATCATTAGGGAAGTGCCAATTAAAACTACAATGAGATACCACTTCACATGCACTAAAATGACTATTAGACACACACATACAGAGAAAATAACAAGCGTCAGTGACGATGTGGAGAAACTGCATCTTCCTACATTTGTTTCTGGGTAAAACAGTGCAGCCACTTTGGAAAACAACTTGGCAATTTCTTAAAAAGTTAAATATAAATTTCTCATACCGCCTAACAATTCTACTCCTAGGAATTTGTCCAAGAGAAATGAAAACTGATGTACACAAAGACTTGTAAGCAAACGTTCACAGCAACATTATTCATAACAGCAAAAAGTGGAAACAATCCAAATGACCATCAACCGGTGAATGGATAGACAAAATGTGGTATACATCTATATAACAGAATACTATTCAGCAATACACAGGAACAAACTATTGATCCATGCTACATACAACAAGGATCAATGTCAAAAACATCATTCTAAGTGAAATCAGTAAGTTGCAAAAGATCACATACTGTGTGGTTCCCTTTATATGAACTGTACAGAATCGTCAATTCCTATAGACACACAAGTAGATTAGTTGTTGTCAGGGACTGGAGCGGATACAACTGGACATGGGAGAATTTCCTTGGGGTGATGGAATGTTCTCAAACTGGGTTTGTGGTAATGTTTGCACAACTTTGTAAATTTAACAAAAATCACTGAATTGTACATTTAAAATGGTGACTTTTATGGTATATAAATTATACCTCAATAAAGCTGTTTAAAAAAGAGCATGAGTTCCTGAGGTCAAAGGCTGTAATGTGTAGCTGAAAAGGGACCATTTAATGTCCTGTGATAGAGAAAGAACAAGCGTAGAGGCCAAAAATGATGGCAAGATGTAGCTTAACTAATCAGGCCTTTTGGACAATATAGCAGTTGCAGTTATTTATATATGTTGGCAGTAAGTTTCCTATTAAATGCACAAGCTTGACTGACAATTGATGTTATGCCTATAGGAACTCATGTTCTAGCACTGAGGTAGTGACTACAAAGTGCTGGAACGATTCTGGCAGTCTCCCCATACAGTCAATAACCAGACAAGTGAATCCCTGAACCAAAAGGATCAGAATGGAGAACCATCCCTACTTGAATCAAGTAGAGATTAGTAGACTAATTTGCCTTCCTGCTCTGAGTTTGACTAAACCCTGTGAAGTAGAGGAAAGCCCAGGAATTGGGAGGCCGCTTTAATTACATCCTATTTTTAAATGGAATTGCCTAAGAATTGAGAAACAGGACTCAGAGTAGAATCAAGTACTAGATTCTTTGTGCAAACACTTAGCTTTGGGAAGACACTTAAGGAGAAGCAAATTAAACAAGGAGAAATTATCTTCAATTTGAAACTCAAGAAGCTGTCTCAATGAGGCATGCTAAAAGGTAGAGTGGTCTGCTCTCCAGGTCTGGGGTAAAAATAAATCTCATTTATGAATAATTGTTTCAAGAGTATTTTAATCACAAGACATTTCCTGGAATTAAGATAAACCTAACTTCCTCTGACCATCTGGAAACTGTCAAGAACAGAGCTCTCTCAGATTGTAGCCCATCCTTTAGAGGTGGGCTTCAGGAGTGGAAAAGGGAATTCCCCAAGGAGCAGGCATCCTCCTTGCTTGTGTTACCAAACCACAGATGCCCTGCTCTCCCTGCCCCAGCCCGAACTCCTCTAATTACACTACTGAACACATCCCCCAGTAAGAGTCACTACTTATGATGAGTACCTGTCACCTCCACCTGGTGAGCTGGGAGAGAAGAATGGCTGGGAGTCATGGCAGTCTCATTTCTTAATAAGGGGAGAACTTCTGTTATTGGGAGTAACTGTGAAGCAATGGAACCAAGTCTGGTTCACTGCACTCATAGTTATAGGGAGCACAGAAGCATGTAGCATTTGGATCTAATCTAAGTGATTTTTATGGATGCATCCTCCCCTCCTTGACTTAAACACACACAAAACACAAATCAGAAAAAGGGAAAGGGGGGAAATAGAGATTTATTGAGCTGCAGTCCTAGTTTTACAGACTGTTCTTTCTGCCTTTGTTTCTTTAAAATGTTATTATCTTCGTCACCAAATAAGTATTTCCAATCAAAAGGAGAGGAGGTATACCTTAGCCCTGACTGTCTGCAGGATTATACATCAATGAATCCTGGCAGAGTAACCAACAACTATGGTCATATGTGTAACTAAAGCCTTGTGACAGGAAGAAAAATGCACTGTCGATCATTTCCACAAAGGTCTGTTTTCCTACAATGTCTCTGGTACTGATTAAAAGACATTCAAGATACAAGAAAGTCTGAGGTTTGCTACACATGCATCCAGCCACACGAATCTAATCTCTTGGAGACTGTCATTAGGAACTGAGTCTAAGAAGGTGATCTCATTGCTAGCAAGGCTGCTAATTATGAGTGCCCCCTACTGCAAATGTAGGCCTTTGGCTTGACTGGCCTCCGTAAGCAGGAGCCAGTTGGCAGTGCTAGAGAAGTGGATGACTGGATAAAACAGGCACGCAGAGGCTGCCACACATGGTATAATGGGGCCTAGAGCCTTAGCTTTAAGTTGCCAGGCTGGTTAAGGAATATACTGATTCAAGGAAGGCAGCTCCTCTTCTTCAAAAAGAAAGCCCCTCTACTGCTCCCCAATAAGTTCCTTTTCTTTGGAGACTGTTTCAAACCCTACAGGGTCCTTTTGCAAAAAGACTCTGGAAATAGGAGTGTTAGATGTCTGGAGATTCCAGCCTGCTAAGAAATTCCTGTCTGGAAGGGAGGAGGGGAGGAGCACCAAACTTAAATGCAACCTCTAAATTTCTCTTTACTGGTAAAAATAATTACTACCATTTTTGAGCAGTAACTGTGTATCAGAAACTGACCCAGTTGTAGAATAAAAGGGGTCCTACTGCGTGTGTGTGTGTGTGTGTTTGAAACATATAACAGGTTTCATGACTAAAAGTGTAAGGAGCTAACTAGTGTATAGGAAAGGAGAATTTCAGGCCTGAAAATGCTTTGAAAGTCATATAATGTGACCATATATTGTCCAAACTGGGATACTTTTGGGAATGAAAAAGGGCACCATTAATGCTGATGCTTGGATTGTCTCAACAAAGTGCAACAGAGTCACCCTATGAGAGGATATATCATTTCTCTATTAAAATCCTTCAATGATTCCCCATCACTTTAGAAGGAATGTTAAACCACAGCCTATCTCTATACCTTTGGCACATACCTTAATGATAGCATATATTAAAATAGATAAGAGCTTTGATTTTCTTACATTGCCCCCCCCCCATGTCACCCCTACCAGACTGCAAACTCAAGGGCAAGAGTCAATGTTACGTGCCTAATGCTCTACCCTTAATGCTTGCCACACACTCAAAA